TTTCCCCCTGACTACAACGCCCCTGATAGTAGGTGCAAAATATAAGAAAATAAACAGTAAGGTTACCAAGTTAGACTGTGTAAGCTCATCATATGTGTGTATACATATTTCCCCTTGATTTTTGATTTGTAATGGTTTTACTGTTGATGATCAGTGGTGTAAGAAGCATTCATTGCTTAAGTAAAAGTAGTAATACCACACAATAAACATACTCACAAGTAAAAGTTCTTCATCCCAAATTTGACTTAAGTAAAAGCATTAATATTTTTGCAACAAAATGTACTTAAAGTATTCCAGTAAGCATGAAACTGAAGCCTAAATGAAGTAAAAAAAAAAATTACACCTGAGGCTATAATAAAAATCTGAATTAGGATATTCCAACACTAAACCGCAATACTCATCAGTTGTGGAAGAAGTACATAAGGTGTAAATCTTTTACTTAAGTAGTTAAAAGTGTCAATACAATAGAGTAGAAATACTCAGTTACAAGTAAAAGTCCTGCATTCAAAATTTTATTTACACACAAGTACAACTTAAAGTACTGAAAGTAAAAGAACTTATATCGTATAAGTGAAGGGTGTCTATAGTGTAAATAATATTGAGTGTACAGTTGTGTCTAAATTTAGCACTTTATATTTTATATTTTTCTAATTCTGATATGTATCTTTTTGTATTTTATCTTTATTCTATAAGTAATCTATTGCAATTCAGTCTGTGCTATTTGAGCTGCTGTAACATGTGAATTTCCCCGTGTGGGATCAATAACATTTTATCTTATTACTGATCTTATGTATAATGGCTCATGTCAGAATAATATGTATTATGCAGTTGACTTATAATTATGCATTTTGAGTGAGCATCACTTTAATGTGCAGCTGGTGATGGTGGAGGCTACTTATAATAAATGTATATACTGCTAGGTTGCTGAATCTGTAGTAATACATCCTTTTTTATTAATTTTATTTTGGATTACTAATTTGAATCTGCAAAGACTAACTAAAGTTATCACATAAATATAGTGAAATAGTCCATTATAATCCTCTGTGATGTAGAAGAGGTATAAAGTAACATAAATTAGAAATACTCAAGTGCCTCAAAATTATACTTAAAGTAAATGTACTTGAGTACTTCCTACCACTGTTAGTCAAAGCCTTACTGATGATACACCACTGAAATGTTGTGTGGTTAATAAACACACAAAGATGTCCATATTTGAAGGAGGATCAGTTCAGACGGTGATGATGTCTGCTCCACAGGCTGCAGCCTCAAATCTTCATCATAAGACTAGACTCTGGATATTTCCCTCTTCATCACTGCAGAACAGTAAATCGCATCTAACTGTGATAAACACATTACAGATCATTATCTCATCGTGTTATTAATACACGGTCAGCTGTGAGCTGTGGAACTATTCTCTTCTTTGTGGACCGACTTATGTTTACACTTTATGCGCGGATGAATATGTTCAGGTGACACCTTCACGGCTGCCGGGACTGGTTGTTTAAATAGCCAGTCTGTGCAGTTTGATTGGATGTTTCTCTCTTAATCGTTTTATAACATCTGCTGCTGCACAATCACACACAATCACACACTGTCAGCTGATCGCATGCACAAAGTTAATCAAACTTATATTGCTGGATGTAGTTCAGGGTCCAGATAACAGTTTTATAAAGACACTTAAATTCTGTCTAATGGGAAACTTGATGTAAGATAGGGGAGACCGAGTTTGGTTGTCACACTTTTTACTCCTGTGTGAATTGCTCATCATCGAAACATCTTTTAACAGGATATCCTACATTAAATGAAATCTTAAGATCTTTGCTTGAAATGGGTGTCCCTCTTGTTTTTACAACTTATTGTAACAAGAAGTAGTTAACCATCAAAGACGTGGGATTGGTTGTCCCTATACTTAAAAAAATAAAGATTTGTAAAAAAAATAAATAAATAAATAAATTGACTTTTTAGTTCTTTTAGATAGAGACACCAAATAAGTTTTGAAATTAATATTACCTCTACAATAGTAGCCACAAGGCTTTTAACCAAAACCAAGAAGCACGACCACATCACAGCAGTTTTAGCCTCTTTATTGGCTCCATTTTTTATGCCTGGTACACACTACACGACATTTCTGTCTGTTCTGAAAGTCACTATGTCACATTATGCGATTGTGGAGTCATAACATCGTGCCGTGACTTTGCCGACAGACATGACACACTACACGATGGTCCACACCAATCATCCCCGGTTGTCTTTCACAACGTGTGTGATGTCATCAGGTTATTCTTGTCCTATTTTTATTACTTTAACTATTATTTCAGTCACTGTGTCTGTTCATATGCCAGCTGAAATGTTGTAGTAATGTAAAAAGTGCCACCAGATGGCAGGAGCTACATTTGAAGTACCCTACGCAAACATGCAAGTCACGGGATCCTCCACAAGTTCCTGCAAATGTTTCACAATAAAACCTGTTTAGAAAATGAAGGGATTCTCTCAGCTGAGATTATAAGGGGCTTTTAATTTGAAAGAGATACAGGAAGTGTTGAGTTTGAAAGGCAAACGATAGCGGATAAAAAGTAAAAATAGTAAAAATACAGAGGGAATAATAAAAAACGACCCATTTATAATGCAGTGTGTTTCAAATGAAGCTGGTGGCGTCTGCAGTTGTGAGTAAAAGCCACTATTTTTTAATTTTCTTATTTTATGTCCGTCTCCATCATAAAGAAATAACGTTTTTTTGCTAGCCTGATGATAATGGCAGTACTCAGCGGGTTGATAAAGTGCCTCTGCTGTTTAACACCATAATGTTTCCCTTTTTTCTCTGTTGTGTAACATCTGTAGAGGAAATATCAAAAACGCTGGGGTGTCGTGGTACAGTTGTCTACAGCAGCAGGTCACTCTGTGTTTCTATTGGTCAAAGTGACGGGAGCAGTTGTGAACGACAAAAACTAAATCAAACTTGCTAGACTCTCTGTCGGGACGTCGCCAGGCGTCCCAGACGGGGTGTCGGTTGATGTTAATTATGACACACTACGGAAGATGAAACGATGGATTATCATGTACGACACTTGTTGTTCACGATCCGAGCCGACTCTGTACGTCTCTGCGTAGGGCCATGGGTGCAGATCTCATGACAAGTTTGGGGGGGACACAATCAGTTGTGATTTTTTTTTTAATTGCACGTGTGCAAATCATGCCCACAGAGTGCTTGAGATTGCCAGCATATTTCACAATCTCATAGAGGCTCATCACCATCACCAAGTCATTCAAAAAGCACTACACAGAGAATCATATGCTTACCTTTACTGTTTATTTCTCTTAAACAGCCAATAGTACATGGAGCCAGCCATCACCCTCCTTTTCACTGCTTCGCTGTTAGTTAATGCTACTTCTAGTTTCAGGGTCTCAGGCATGTTATGTCCACTCATGTGCTCATCTCTCGCCTCTCACAGATTCCCACTTCTCCTTATCATCTTCCCTTTCTCCCAGTATATGGGACTACAGTATACATCAGTGGATATGGATGATTATCAGAATATGAGCCCCTAACTGAACTTGGTTAATCTAACTGATCATGTTTTTACAGAGCCAGAAATGCTAGTATTAATACAGTTCTAAGAGCACAATAAATACTTACAAGTTACACAAGTTGACCTAACACAATCGGTTTTATTTAAATAAATTCTTTTTATTTCTATTTATAAAAATATTTGTTCCACAATTGTCATTTATTTTAGAATTGGGAATGTGGAGTCGGAAAATGCATTTGTTCAATTTCAATCATTGGGGGGGACAATTTGTGTTTTTCAGAAATTGGGGGGGGGGGGGGGCATGTCCCCCCCGTCCCCCCCGGGATCTGCACCCATGCGTAGGGCTATAATCGGGCTGATATCGCATATTGTGTACCAGGCATTACCACTGACTATAAGATCATATTAATTACTTTTAAGGCTCTTCATGGCTCCAGATTACATTTCAGAACTGTTAGTCCCTCATGAACCTTTATGTAGTTTGAGATCCTCGGGCAGAGGTCTTCTGCTTGTCCCAGAGTCCAGACTGAGGACCAAAGGTGACAGAGCTTTTGCAACCAGGGCCCTGAGGCTCTGGAACGACCTGCCCGATGATGTAAGGCTGTCTGAGTCACTGGCTTCATTAAGTCTCTCCTAAAAACGTACTTCTATCAGAAAGCATATCCTGACTTTATCTGAGCTGTCTATTTTGTTGCTATCTCATTGATTTTACTTACCTTTTATTATCTTGATTTTAGTTTTGACCTTCCTTATTTTATCTTTTACTTGATGACATTTTATGACATCTTATTTGTTTTATTCTTCTTGTGTTTTAATTGTGTTTAGTTTTATTATACAGCACTTTGTAACTGTGCTGTAAAGGGTGCTATATAAATAAAGTTTATTATTATTAGTAGTAGTAGTAATCAATGTCTGTTGTGTTTAAACCATGAATTTGAACCAGGTGATTCTTTGTTTGAATTATCCTCTGAAATGACAGTAAAATGAAGGAACTGACAGTTCTGAAAAAAAATCTAGTCTTTGTTAAAGCCACTGTCTCATAACAATGAATTATGAATATGAGATTAAATGAAACAGTGAGACTGGAAAAGATTATTCTCCGTCACAATATGTGTGTGTCTAATCAAAAATACCTGAGAACATATGGACCATAACATGTTTGCCATGCTGACTGACTTTCTCACACATGACAACCAACCCCCAGAGCAGTGACACAACCAGCTGACCTCTTGACAAACATTTTAAGCTAGCTACCACACGGCGTTGGCTTGCTAGCTACAAGTTGACTCAAATCAAAGCTATTACCTTTGACTATTAATAAGTGTTTGATTTTTAAACCACTAATAACCTACAGCCTTTTAATACAAAAACAAAACAAAACACCAACATGAAAAAATTTACTCTCTTCTCCCTTACCTCATTTCCTGTCATCTCTTATGCTGTAGACCTGTAGTGGGTGTAACACACAGAATATGCAAAGACAAACTTTATTTCACAACACAATTCAAATACAGCTTTAGTGTTAGTCTGTCTTCTTCTGACGTTATAAAAGCATGGCAGTGACAAAGATCATCACCTTGGCTAGCTTTAGAAGACAGACAGTACAGACATCGTTACTGACTCAGGATAAAATGCCGTGCAGCCATCACAGCCTCACTCAGTATTCTTGGTCTTCATCATCATTTTCAGAATCTGGGTATGTTTGACCCAAATCCTCGTAATCCCTTTCGAGACAGGCCAGGTCCTCTCTGGCCTCTGCGAACTCTCCCTCCTCCATACCTTCACCTACATACCAGTGGACGAACGCACGCTTGGCGTACATGAGGTCGAACTTGTGATCGAGACGTGACCAGGCCTCAGCGATGGCCGTGGTGTTGCTCAGCATGCAAACAGCCCTCTGGACTTTGGCCAGGTCTCCACCGGGGACCGCAGTCGGAGGTTGGTAGTTGATGCCCACCTGTTGAGACAAAGAGAATGATCAGAGAGATGATGTATGTCAAGCTGCATCTCATACCGTCATGATGTCACTCACCTTAAATCCAGTTGGGCACCAGTCGACGAACTGAATAGAACGTCTGGTCTTTATGTTTGCGATGGCAGTGTTTACATCCTTAGGGACGACATCGCCTCGGTACAGCATGCAGCACGCCATGTACTTGCCATGACGAGGGTCACACTTGACCATCTGATTGGTCGGCTCAAAGCAGGCGCTCGTGATCTCGGACACAGTCAGCTGCTCATGATACGCCTTCTCAGCAGAGATGATGGGCGAGTAGGTAACCAGAGGGAAGTGGATACGTGGAAACGGGACCAGGTTGGTCTGGAACTCCATCAGGTCCACATTGAGGGAGCCGTCGAAACGAAGGGAGGCTGTGATTGAGGACACAATCTGACCGATCATTCTGTTGAGGTTGGTGTAACCGGGACTGTCGATGTTCATGTTGCGCCGACATATGTCGTAGATGGCTTCGTTGTCCACCATGAAGGCGCAGTCGGAGTGCTCTAAGGTGGTGTGGGTGGTGAGGATGGCTTTGTAGGGCTCCACCACAGCGGTGGACACCTGAGGGGCTGGGTACACAGCGAACTCCAGCTTGGATTTCTTGCCATAGTCGACAGAAAGACGCTCCATCAGCAAAGAGGTGAAGCCGGAGCCGGTTCCACCTCCTAAACTGTGAAAGACTAGGAACCCCTGCAGGCCGGTGCACTGGTCCGTCTGATGAGAGGGACAGAAAGACAGACAGAATCTATTAAAGGTACTTGCTTGCATTGATTAAACTCCTAAAAACTTATCTCTGTTTATCAAAATTACATATTTAGAAGTTTTTCTATGAGAGAAATCTTTCAAAATGTCTTAAATGTGACTCTACATCTTAACCTCATTTATTACGCGCCGATCGATGAATATCTCAACTCAAATTTATCTATAAAGCACATTTAAAAACAAATCACTGACCAAAGTGCTGCACAGAAGGAATAAAATGCTAAAAACACATACATGAGAGGCAACATAAATGTCAGGTACACAGCTCACACATTTAGAGACACAACACACACAGTTTTTGAGCCTGGACTTAAACAAGTTAGTGGAGGGGACGGTTCAAGTAGTTCAGATATCTCGAGGTCTTCTTCATGAGTGAGGGTAGAATGGAGCATGAGATGGATTGGCGGTTTGGTGTGGCGTCTGCTGTGATGCCGGTGCTGCACCAGTCCGTCGTGGTGAAGAGGGAGTTGAGCCGGAAGGCAAAGCTTTCGATTTACTGGTCCATCTACGTCCCAACCCACACCTGTGGTCATGAGCTCTGGGTAGTGACCGAAAGAATGAGATTGCAGATACAAGTGACCGAAATGAGTTTCCTCCGTGGGGTGGCTGGGCTCAGCCTTAGAGATATAAAGAGGAGCTCGGATATCCAGAGGGAGCTCAGAGTAGAGCTGCTGCTTCTTTGCGTCAAGGGCCAGTTGAGGTGGTTTGGGCTTCTGATCAGGATGCCTCCTGGGCGCCTCCTGCTGGAGGTGTTTCAGGCACTCCAGAACACACTGAAGGGATTACATAGCCCATCTGGCCTGGGAATGCCCTGGGGCCCCCCAGGGAGGAGCTGGAAAGTGTTGCTGGGAAGATGGACATCTGGGGTGCTTTGCTTGGCCTGCTGCCCCCGCAACCTAGCCCCAGATAAGCAGATGAAAGTGGATGGATGGATGGCTGGATGGAGATTGAGAGGTGGATGCTGTTCAACAGTTTGGGGGCAGAGACAGCAAAAGCACGATCACCCCTAAGCTTAAGTCTGGAGCATGGGACAGCCAGGAGCCCCAAGTCAGCTGACCTGAGGGACCGGGGGGTAGAGCAGGGGGTTAGGAGGTCTACAAACAGAAGAACCTTAAAATCAGTTCTGAATTTTCCTGGCAGCCAGTGGAGAGAGGCTAAAACAGGTGTGATATGGTCTCTCCTCTGGATAGCCTGTGAGGAGCCTGGCAGCAGCGTTATGAACCAGTTGGAGGTGGGACAGAGAGGACTGACTAACACTGGTATACCAGTGTAATATGTAAATTAGCCCCGCTGCTAACCTGCAACTCAAGCGAACCAGCTCACCTCTGACTCACTTCATCAAACACAAACTTCTGCTCGTGAACAGTTCTAGATAACATTTGAATTGATGTTATCAAAGAGCTAATAATGTGCTGCTGATGTTAGATAGTCTTGTTCCTGATCGCCAGCAATGACATGTTGAGGTGGAAGCGGAACTCTGATACCCCTCGTTTCCCATGTTGACGGGATTGGTTCCTTAGATGTGTGATGGAAAAAACCCTGGAGGTTGTGGCACTGACTGTATATTTTGCTCATAATATGTCATATAAAAAACACCACTTGGACCTGTTAACCAGGTTAAAATCTTGTTTTTCACTGGAGGAGGGCCTATAAAGTATGGGCTTTGCAAAATGCACTTATTTGCTTTCTCGTATAGAGTTAGATAAGAAGATTGGGTTCAGGCTTTAAAGCAGCAGGGAATCCACTGTCAAACTACATATGGAGGAAACATAACATCCCAGTAATTTCACAAATCATAGAGAATGGAGTGATTTTTACCCTTTGAGGAACACAATTACCTTCTTACAGTACGCCCAATTACATTCAATTCTCTCAAAACATCCCAAAGAAAACAACTGTGAGGCTGATAAACAATTTAGATCTTCAGCATCAGACAGAGGTATACTGTCTCAGGTCTGTGCAAAAGGTTTATTCACTCCTCCTTATATCCCGACATTTGGAATCAATGTTCATGTGATGAAGCTGTGATTAATGAGAAAGCATCTTTATTCCCTCAATTAGACTTAAAAAGAGCAGGAAAAGCTTTTCTTTGTCTTCACAGCTCTTTCATGAAACAAAAAAGGAACTCACTCAAACTCTTTCAAAATACATCAACAGTAGTTTCTCAGTCAGGTCTTTATCAGTCTCACTGACCATTTTACGGACGCGCTCCATGACTCCATCAATGATTTCTTTCCCGACAGTGTAATGGCCTCGTGCATAGTTGTTGGCTGCATCCTCCTTTCCAGAGATCAGCTGCTCAGGGTGGAAAAGCTCTCTGTACTTTCCAACTCTTACCTCATCTGAAAGAAAGTTTTTAATCACAAAGGTCAATGAAATTAACTTCAGTGTGGTTTAACTTGACCAGACGAGTGCCAAATGTGGAAATTTCCACTGAAACAGACGTATCTTAGTGCAGTGGTTCCCAACTGGAGGGTCATTATCCAAAAGTGGGTCATGGGTCCATTCTGAATGGGCTGCAAGTGACTCGAAAATGTGTCAAGTTTGTGAAAATCACATTTTATTTTCAAGTACAGTGAATTTCTGACACAGATATTTTATTTTGAAGTGCTGTTTCCTGCTGTAGAGTGAGTGAATAACAGGAAGCTACTTAACAGAGCCCAACGGCGTGGACAAAGGCAAGTATGACACTGAATATATTAAACTGTGTGGACCTAGAACTAACGACTAAGGAGAAATCTGGACCCGTGGCTGGACCATTTGGGAACCACTGTATTAGTGAGTAGTTTAGCATTTTTACTGTCATGTTATTGACACACTGATGACTCCACAATTGATGTAACAAACTCATGACTAAACAGACTTCATTTTCATGCCAAAGTTTGAAGATTTACAAAGATTTACTAACTTAAAATCTTGAATTTTTCATTCAATTTATGGTGAAACCTTAAAAGTGGTGCCTTTAATTTGTACGTTTCATATGAAGCTCCAAAATTTACGAATTAAAAAATGTAACTGCATATACTCATAATTAATACTGGACATATGTATCAATATGTGCATGTCTCCTTATTATATAAACAACACTGTAAATGTTATTTGGGAAAAAGATAATTAAGGACAGGTTCCCCATTTTTTTTAAGTCTGCCTTAAAACAACAGTCAGGTACTCCTCTGAATACTGAAACAGATTTTGCTTGTTGCAGTAATTCCTCCTTTTCCAGACTTCAGAAACTGTGAACCTGTCCTTTAAAGGTGCTGTGTACGACGTTCAGAGCATTGTTATAGCAGCAAACAACTATTAGCTATGCAAAGATATAGTGAAGTAATGGCATCCTGAGGAGAGAATGAAGTCAAGCTCTCTCTGTGTGTGTTGTAATTGATGCTTCTCTGTTCTTTGTTGTGGTAGATGGTCCGGCAACACGTGCATGAGTCCCTGTGTATCCCACTGACTCTGCTGCTCTGTGCTGCACATATTACTGTGGTTATGGCTGATAATGCCATCTTTGCAGACATGAAACCCAACCACTGTACATTAGTAGATGGATTCACATGGGAAAGGTGCGGCTAGCCCTTGTTGCAACGGTGGGGGTTGGAATCCGGACTTCGTTCATTTTTCTGTTGTTATAGCGCCACCCAGTTGCCAATTAGAGTTAAATTTCTCCAGTCATCTTGAGGCGTCCTGTTCTACATATCTACCAAGTTTAGTAAAAATTTATATGGCTTTTAGGCCTATATAAGAAATTAGCTCTCTAGTGCCCCCATTTTGTTTGATGGGGTCAATAATGGAGGGGTCCCCTCAGATTATGTGTGGTCATATGCCTACAAAGTTGCGTGGTGATGGGTGAAACCCTTGAGATGTTATACACCTTTATGTGATGAGCCACGCCCTCCACAATATTCATTGCCTTATAGAAGCTCAGTTTTAGTGAGTTTTCCAACTTTTGCTGAGAGGGAACTTTAGATATTGGTCCCTAGATTATGTTCACAGAGTTCATGCAGATTGTTCAAACTTCCTAGGAAGAGATTGATTTGAAGTATTTTTCAAAAAATTCAAAATGGCGGAAAATCTATATAACTGGAAGTTATGGGTTCTTGAGGCAAATTTTTTCCTCATGAGGAGAGGCATCTCTGTGCAACGTTTCATGTCTCTACGACATGTGAGATATGCCCATTCAAAGTTTGCATTTTCAATCGGTTGCTATAGCGCCCCCCTTTGGCCAATTGATGTGATATTGCTTCATTTACATCCTCCCATGACCCTCTACCACTGTGCCAAATTTCACATGGATTGACCAAGTCAGTGCGGAGAAAAACGTGGAACAGAGACACACACAGAGTTTTCGTCATTATATAGTAAGATTCTATAATTAATTTTTTTTTTCTCCTTTTTTTTTGGTTGTTTGGTTTGGTCAAATTGTTTGATTGATTCTTTTCTTTTTTTTTTAAAAAAAAAGATTTTTTTGGGGGCTTTTTGCCTTTAATGGACAGGACAGATTGAAATGGTGTGAGAGAGAGAAAGTGGGGGTTGACATGCAGCAAAGGGTTGCAAGCCGGAGTCGAACCTGCGACCGCTGCAGCGAGACATTTCCTCTGTACATGGGGCGCCGGCACTATCCACTACGCTACCGACGCCCCGTTTGATTGATTCTTTGACTTATGTATTCATATATATGTGTGTGTGTGTTAATTAGGGAATATGCTGGACAAGAGGATGTATATGAAGAGACGTATATCTTCCATTCCCTTTATTTTGTATTGTTATCATCCTCAACTCAATGAATATAATCTAAAAAATATATATATATATTATAAAATATTATTTTTCCTCTCATGAACCCACACAGACCGGCGGGTCGTCCTCTCTCCCTGCATGCTTCAGCCTTCCTCTCATTTAAAACAAGTACTCTATCTTGTGCCGACATATTTACATCTGCGGATATTCTGTATCATAGCAACCAGATGCAACCAAAGTGTTTCAGCTGAAAAAAAAACTCAGCACCTCGAAAGCACTCTCTCTCCCAGCTGGGTGTTTCCCGAGGAGCGCCTGGTGTTTTCAGCTGGGAAAAAAAAAGCTTGGTGGACACTCATTCATTCATTCATTCATTCATCTTCTAACCGCTTCATCCTCTTGAGGGTCGCGGGGGGGCTGGAGCCTATCCCAGCTGACATTGGGCAAGAGGCAGGGTACACCCTGGACAGGTCGCCAGACTATCGCAGGGCTGACACATAGAGACAAACAACCATTCACACTCACGCTCACACCTACGGACAATTTAGAGTCACCAATTAACCTAGTCCCCAATCTGCATGTCTTTGGACTGTGGGAGGAAGCCGGAGTGCCTGGAGAGAACTCACGCCGACAGGGGAGAACATGCAAGCTCCGCACAGAAGGGCTCCCACACCCGGGATCAAACCGGCAACCCTCTGGCTGTGAGGCAACAGTGCTAACCACCACACCACCGTGCCACCCCTGTTTTAGTTTATTTGAACAAAATAATCAGGGTCAAGGAACAGTAGTATAACTCTTTATACTTTTTTTTACACTCCATTTCAATTATCAAACTAAAAGTATAATTTATTTATGTATTTGGTTATAAAATATTTTAAGATAAGATGAAATATCATAAACGTTATTTATCCTGAGGGAAATTGTTTTGTAGCTGCTGCAGTGCAAAGAAGGAAAAAGTGTTTAATCTTAATATCAACAAACAGATTATTAAAAATCCTCAAAATCCAAACTATACAAAAATTATATCACAGAAATTTTACAATTTTAAATATATTGAAAAATGTATTTTGTCTTTGAAATTTAATGTAAGCATAAATTGATGACACATACTGGGGACACTTTGCTTGTTTAAAATAAATCCAATGTTGCACTCTGTAATTTTCTATTTACACAACACACTTCTGTAAATGTTAACCAGCACTGAATAAAAGAACAAAGGAGTCTCCACTGCACTTGTTGCTTGGATACCAGTGTTCCCGTCAGCAGTTACCTGCATGAACTGTGTGGATGGAGATGCACTCACACTAGACACATACGAAGGCACATAACAGGATGTCAGGAACGATTATATAAAAAAAAAACAGAGATAAGGAGGATGAAAATAATGACACACTCAGACTCACCGACCACTGTGGGCTCCAGGTCCACATAGATCGCTCTGGGAACATGATGCCCAGAGCTGCCAGTGTTGAAGAAGGTGTTGAATGGGTCTTCACGAGAGTTTGGTTCTGCAGGACTCTCCAAGGAGACGCCATCAGGACCGACGCCATGTTCGAGGCAGAAGAGCTCCCAGCAGGCGTTTCCTGTCTGGACACCTGCCTGACCCACGTGGATGGAGATGCACTCCCTCTGGACACATAGAAACAAGACAGGTGGAGGCTGAGACGTCTGTCACAAAGTTCCTAACACAAAATTCAAAGTAAAACAAAGTCATTCTCAACATTTTGACTCATTATGACCTTCAACTGTACAAGAAAACAGGTAGCTGGAGCATCACCAAGCAAATCAAACACAGACGTTTGAGATGGCTAGGCCATGTGCTAAGAATGGAACAGGGCTGGATCACAAGAGCCAGACAAAGGAAAACCCGGAAGGCCCAAAACCACCTGGTGCAGAACTGTGACACTGGAGTTGGAAAAGATGAACCTGTCATGGGGAGAGGCGCAACATGCTGCCAAGGATCGAATGCAGTGTAAAGAGCTCATTAAAGCCTTATGTTCCATAGGGGATGAAGAGGAGTAAGTAAGTAAGCATGTAGTGCAAATGTGAGCCTTGTCTCCTCCTGTAATCTCTGTTAGAAATATGTACACTGCTATCCATGAATAAAATCTACTGTTTCAGGTCTCTTCAAATTCCAAAATCTAAACCTGCAGGTTGAAAATAAAAGTGGATGTAGAGTTTTGGGCAGTCCAAAGTGACTCCCAACAGTTTCTAAAGTGACACAGTAGATGGCCTGCTGCAAATGACTGTTTAAGACGAGTAAACAACAATACCGGCTGTTTTTTAGTGACCTGTTGCTGTTTTCCCACCGGGGACAGTGCCACGAAAAGCGTCCGTTTTTGACCAAGACATCGCCACATTTCCAGCCGTGACTGTGCCAGCCAGTTAGGCCTATTTTAAGCCAAAACATGATTTTTTCCTAATTACAATTAAGTGGTTTTGGTGTCTAAACCCCACCACATATTAACCACAGCATTGTTGAAACATGAATTCTCAGCATATTCGCTACATAATACAAATGTGACAAACCTGTGTTTTTTTTTTGTTTTTTTTTTACAAATGTACAACACCAACATTTTTTCTGGTTGAAGTTTCAGCTCATTGTTCATTGTTCCACCTAAAACTTCACTGTTCTGGTTCGCTCTTATAGTGTTGTTTTCAGCTGCAGCAGCCAGCTGTTTTCAGTGAAACCCACCATACTCCACCTGCTCATCACCACACAGCACAGAGACACAGTTAAAGATCTGGTGAAAATAGTGCAGCATTTAGCAGCTAAAGAGACTGATCAGAATCAAGAGAGAAATTGGGTCACGTTGCAGTCACTCTTACACACACATAGAGAAATTATACAAAAATAAAAAATATATTAAAAAAAGAAGCAAAAATATGCGCATTATGCTGCTGTTAGATATAAAAGAATATATACAGAGAAAACAGAAAAATAAGAATAACAAGCATATACAAATACTGGCATCAGACTATAATAACCAAAATGTAAATAAACAATGAAAATAAAAAATGCTGAAAAAATACAATTATAAATAAAAGAATAGTTTCAATAGTAAAATAAACTTAAATGTGCAGTATAAACACAGTGTTGAGGCCAGAGTACTGCATAGTTGAATTATTGCAAAGATTATTGTACAGTTGAGTCAGTGTTGCACAGCTGAAAATATAAATAATACTGTAAATAAATTATGGGCTTGCAGCTGCTGACGGGTCCATTCAAGGAGTTGAAGTTTGATAACTTATATAACTGATAACTACAGGCAGAATGAGCTGGTAGAAAGTTTGTTTTTAAGGGTCACAAATTCAACTGTGCAATATTCAAAGACGACTAAAAGACGAAGCCTGAGATCTAAAGATTTAATCAGCAATGACTGCACCACTGTTACTGTTGTGTATCTGACAATAAAGAACTTGAACTTGAGTCTACAGTTCTGCCAGCAGCTCTGTGAGGCTGTACTGAGGCACAGTGGTTGTGCCAAGAGAGGTCTTGGTCTTAAGAGTTTTTGAAGTTTCGTCTTGGACTTGACCGCATTTTGGCTGTTTCTATCTCAGACTAAGACGACTCAGGATGCTATTTCAAGACCAGTAAAGACCAAAACAAAATTTCTTGTGCAAAAAGGAGTAGTAAATAAAGATGGTTAAATTGATTTCAGCTATTTTGTGTTTCAATTTGTTTGGTCTTTGAAAAAAAAGAAAAATTTCAAAACATAAACTTAATCTGTGCAATGACTTTTGATTATTTTACAAAGACATTTTTTCATTCAGTTTTACTTATACATACACACATTTACAGAATGCACGGAAAGAGATACATGAAGAGGAATCCTCATTTGTTTTCTGTGGGTGTTTTAATGGGAATGTGGATCTTTTAAATCAATTTGAGGAGTTCCTGGTTTGCATGTTCCAGTCTGTCATGCAGAATGGGACTCACACTGGTCTAGTCCTGGTCTTGTCTCGATCTGTGTACACTCTGGTCTTGACTCATGACTATGATGCTGACTAAAAGCTAAAAGTTGTGGGAAAAAAAATCTGCTGGAGGCGCGACAGGAAACATAAACGTTTGTGCAATATTTTGTGAAAATTCAAGTCAGGTTAAACTAGAATAACCACCTCGCAGCTGTATGCCTCCACGCACCAGTTTCTGTTACAGTTTACCTTCATGTCTGTGGAAACATGGATGATTCACACCCACTGTCCCCTGACAAAGTGTTTTATGCAGGACATTATGATGTCACAGTGAAGCTGGCATTTGACCTTTTGAATATAAAATGTCATCACTTCATTATTTTATCCTATTAGACATCTGTGTGAAATTTGTTTGCGTAAGAATTCTTGAGTTATGGCCAAAAACATGTTTTGTGAGGTCACATTGACCTTGACCTTTGACTTATGAACACTAAAAAACTGATCACTTCATTGTTGAGTCCAAGTCGACGTTTGTGCCAGATTTAAAGAAAATCCCTCATGGTGTTCTCGAGATAATGCGTTCACAAAAACAAGACAGACAAGGTCACAGTGACCTTGACCTTTGACTACCAATCGAATCAGTTTATCGTTTAAGAAATTCCTTTAAGCTGTTCTTGACACATTGCATTCACAAGAATGAGACGGATGCAAGGTCACAGTGACCTTGGCCTTTGACTCTTGACCACCACGAATCTCATCAGTTCATCCTCGAGTCAGAGTGAATCTTCTATGCCGAATTTAAAGAAATTCCTTCAAGGTGTTCTTGAGATGTCAAGTTCATGAGAATGAGATTGATCTAAGGTCAAAGTGACCTTGACCTTTGACCTATAACCACCAAAAACCGAGACTATTGCCGGCACGAAGGCATAAAAAAACAACAACAAATGGCTTAAATTATATAAAATCTATGCACCATGACCCAGAACATTTGAACATTTAAATTTTCAACATTAATTTGGGAACTTTTTTATTGCACCATTTGACATTACGTTGGGTCTGTCTTTGCTTCCATCAGCTCAGTGTGCAAAAATAAAACAAATATCTGATGACATCCTGTGTTACTTATATGTGCTCTGCTTTTCCTTTTGTTACCTCCACCAAGGAGGTTATGTTTTCGCCGGCGTTGGTCTGTTTGTTTGTCTGCAAAATAACTCAAAAAGTTCTGAACGGATTTTGATGAAATTTTCAGGAAATGTTGATAATGGGACAAGGAACAGATGATAAAATGTTGGTGGTGATCGGTTGAAGCGAAGTGGATAAAATAATAAAATGGCAGGAAATCCGAGCTGCTTGGCAGAGGTCTGCGCTCTCCGAGTGCTTTTCTAGTTTTAAAGTGAGAACACTGTTAACAACAGGTCGGCCTTTTTCAGACGGTTTAATGTTTTTCATCTGCTAAGCACTTTCAGCAGTCGTGTTTCAACATGTTCAGAATCTTGTTTTCCCCGCAGAAAGAAAATCCCCCAAGATGATTTTTTTTTTTGTTGCTGCGGAGTGATTTGAATTTATAAGACATGGGTATGAACTGAAGTTTGGAATATGAGCATTGATAAAACACATTTGAAAAGTTGAATATTCACAACAAAAGGCTTTTCTTCTGAGGGTCTGAGGCTGAAGATGAAGCTTTGAGCCCCTTTTGCTGAAACTCATAAAACACTCAAAGGGTAGACAAAAATATAAATTTTTCATTTAACCCTACAAAACATGCATGTGAGTTAAAACAGGCTGCAACAGAGTCAGTGCAGAGTTCTGTGGATATTTTTGGATAAAGAAAGAAGTCATATGTAAGATTTCTCTTGCAGACAAACAGTCACACTGGTGATTTCAGAGAAACCAAACTAACTGATGCAAACACCGAATAACAAACGTTGCAGCACAAGTTTTCACATTTATAATAAAGTGTAATAATCTTACCATGTCGCTGGAGATGAGATGAGATGGTGGTTTTGCTTCAGGTTACTGTGCGTTATTCTGTCCGCAAGGCTCAGCACAGACTGAGCAGTTCCTCTGCACTGATCCAGGGGTGTGTAACGTGTCCTAACAGACACAGCGATGCTTTGTACTGCCTGCTGCAGCAGCTCTTTATACCTGCAGACAGACAGACGGGCTCACCTGGGTTAGTGTTAGGATGGTGTGTGACTGACTGATGTTTATTCAGGCTTCATGTTAGAGGGAGGGAAGTCTTCCTCCACCCACATGAAGCTACTTCTCCCTCACTTCTGTCACTTTTTTCACAAAAAAGAACTTTTAATTCATATTTATTCATCTGAATCAATCCAACTTTGTGCCAAAGGTTATTTTACACCTGGCTAACAATGGTTCTGTCACTTTTTATAACATCATACAGTGATGGAGAGGAATTCAGATCCATGACTTGAATAAGGAAACCAGACGAAATAAGCTGTGTGATCTGGAAGAGGTGGAAAGGGAGCCACATTTTCTTTTGCACTGTTCAGCAGTGTGGTGATTTAATGACATTCTTCTATGAAATTATTTAACAAAACTCTGATCTACAGGTGATTTTAAAAAGAACAGTTGTTACTTTTTAGCAAATAATTATTCATATTTCTAAAGTAGTTTACTCAGTGATTTATAAATGTTGAAGACATGAAAGTCAGAAAATGTAGCTGTCAAAATTAAATGAACTGCTTTTCTTTCATTCATTCTCATATGTCACCGTATTTGTTACTACTCACACATATTTATGTTGCAGTCAGACTGGGACTAATGGAACATTTATACAGCCCACTAAACTGTTTTAAAAATTAACTTGTGCCAACACCAATTAAGATTTTAAATAATGTCACTTGATATTAAGGGTTGTGTTGTGTTTTGCTTACAGTGCTCTGTTGTGTGCTGGTGTTATGTGTAGTGTGTGTTTTTATGTTTTAATGGTGTATGCTTCATTTCTTCCTGACTATTATTGTAAGGCAGCAATACTTGTGCAGCTCCTGAGTCCAAGACAAATTTCCCTACAGGGAAAATAAAGTGCATCATATCGTATTGTGGCGTATTGTGTTGTGTCGTTGCATCATTGTAGTTTAATCTAAAATATATCACATTTTATGAAGTGATATGGACACAGAGGGACACGTCCCTCTTAAAATTTCAACATGTACATCTGTCCCCTCCAACAAACTCCTAAAAATAGCAGAGGACTTTTGACTAAATTAAAGACATTTACACCATAAATCGATGCGTAAAAAATCACCAGAATGCAGGAAACTATGTTTGATGCTTAAGATTTTCTCAAAGGGGACCCCAAAACACCCTGTTTTTTATGTCCTCATATGTCAAATGAAACCTACTCTGGCTGTGAAATAGATGAAGTGGACTAGAAGTATAAAGTAGCATAAAAGGGAAATATTCAAGTAAAGAACAAGTACCTCAAATCCTACTTTAACAACAACACTCAAGTAGACATATTTACTTTGCAGCACTGACAATTTATGATTTTAAAGTTATAAAAATGATAACAACCAGTAAAAGAGCTGATCATATATCTGCATTTGATCATCCTGCTGTTTCTTTATGCTTTAAAATTGCACATGGAAGTACAGAAGATGGTGAAATCTGTTTCATTGTTTGGTGAACGTGCAGACTTACCTTTTATGCAATCTTAATGTTTCCATTCATCAGAAGAGACGAACTGAAAAGATCCTGTTTCATTATTAGTCATCAGTTTGTATCTTTCTTAGGAAACTGAGGTGTAACTGAATTACACAATTCAGCAAATCACACAAAGCTTCCCTGTAATATAACTGATGTGTGATTAAATATTTCCTCTGTGACTGAATATTTTGGCAGCGTTATTATTCTGGTGAACATGAGAGCTTTGTTTTTCAGGAAACATCAGGAATTGTATCCAACAATTTAGTTCAGCCCTCAGATAACATTTTGTACTTTACTCAAGCATAATAAGTTTCTGTTGCTTTAAAATACATTGCTACAGATTAAATCAGTGTTACTCAGCCTTTTTGTTTTGTGACCTTTATAAAAACTATTTAATTTGGTCCCTTGTGTCATTTATAATTTGTGTAGCAGAACTTTGTTTTGCCTTCGGCCCTCTCACATGAATCTTCCCGCGACCCCTCAGATTCATCTTGTGACCCTCTGAAGGGGACCCAAGTTGGGACCCACTGGACAAAACCACCAACTAAAGTAATTTAAACCAGCTCCACTGCGACCTGCTGCAACAGTAATATTATTTTAGTCATGTGATCTATCACAGGGGACGTTTTCCTGCAGACCAATAACTTTTACTTTTAATACCAGGGGTGGAAGAAGTTTTCAAATCAAATACTTAAATAAAGGTAGTGATATCACACTAGAAATACACAATTACAAGTAAAAAGTTCACATACGAAAAAATGCAGAAGTATTATTGGCAAAATCTTCTCAAAGATTACACAAATGGATCCTATTATTTGCTATTTTTTTGTTGTTGCAGTCGAAAATATTTTGCTATTAGTCGTTTGTTATCACTTGTATTATATTTTATGTATTGTTGTATCTTTCTGTACTGACCTTTGGACAGATGAGACAAAACTGGAGCTATTTGGCAAGAAGTCTCATTGAGAGTTACAGAAATCAACTGATTGCAGTGATTGCCTCAAAAGGTTGTGCAACAAAATATTAAATTAAGGGTGTTATTATTATTTTTGTCAGTTTCAAGTTATTTCAGTGACCATTGTGGGTTTTTCTGTCTTTAACGGAAGGGTACCAACAATTTTGTCCATGTGTGTATTCATCAGTCTAGGTGCAAGTCACCAAGTGTTGGAGGTATCAACCATAGAGATGTCTGGCTTCTTTTGATAATGATGGAACTAGATGGCACTCAGCTTGTGGTGCTCAAAGCGCCAAAAAACTCAAAAGCAATGTCTCTTTCCAGAAATCATGACCTGGTTACTCAAGATAATCCACAGACCTTGTTGTGAGCAGTTTCATGTTGGAACTATTTGCTTTCTACTGAACTACACCCGCCAACCGTATCAACGTGCGTGCATCTACTCATAGACAAGAGGCTGTGTTTTCAAACCAGAGGAACTTCATCATTGTTGTAAGAACCCCCAGTTTTTGTTGTGTCTGCAAAACAGAACTAGGAACATTTGTAATCCTTATAACCCTACTTTGAGGGACTTTTTTAGCTCCTACTGTAGAGTGGGTACTCTTACACCACAAGAGCAACCATGAGAGACGAGGGTGTGATTGGTCGAATACAGCAGCACTGGTAACCGCCATTTTTAAAAACCTCGGTCTGATGATGGCTATTAATGGCGTCCTCTTCGGCTGAGCTGTAAGGTTAACTAGCTCAGTGGTGCTAGGTGAGCTAGCAGCAGATGCATGCTTCCTTCTGCACGGTGATACAGTTGGTGGGTGTAGTTTGGTAAAAGAAAATAGTTCCTACATGGAACTGCTCACAACAAGGTCTGTGGATTATCTTGAGTAACCAGGTCAAGATTTCTGAAAGGAGACATTGCTTTTGGGTTTTTCAAATATATTTTTCAGCCCTTTGAGCACCACAAGCTGAGTGACATCTAGTTCTATTATACTGCCGAGAAGGCAGCTGATATCTCCAACACTCAGCACCTCACACCAAAACAATCTAGACTGATAAACAGCACTACAGGTAAGAGGAAAAAAAATTGTGTTTTGATTTTGGGGGGAACTGTCCCTTTAAAAAGGCACAATAGTTGTGCGGGGATAAAAAACATGCCCTGCACAGTCTGCTGAGTTTGAGACATCAAACTGCTTCGAGCAGCTGGATGATTCTTCACATTTGCTCTGTGGATGTGGACGATGATGCCACTGACTCAGCTGACGATGTGTGAAGCGAACATACAGCGTTTTGTCTCTCTGCATCACTTATCAGGTGTTCACAGACCGAGAGGAGAAAACGCATCAGTTCTCAGAGTGTTTATTCACTTCCCAGGCAACAGTGATGTTGGGACTTTGTGTCCTACATGTACATGTCCAGATTTATAAGCTGAGGGAAAAAAACAAAAAACATGCACCTCATACTTATTGGTTTGTGGTTTTCAGGGACAAAATAATCAGCTGGTACAATTCAGTCATTTTCTAAAACGATATTGATCTCTAAATATATATTCTGAGAGCAACGATAAGTATTAAACCTTCTGTATTAAAGTGATTTGAGTCTAAAAGCACTGATTACAGAAAGAATTACAAAAAGGGCTGAAGTACTGACCCATTAATGACCTCGCAAATGCCGAATGAGTGCGCTCGATAAGAAGCCAATGTAGTGTAACGATCATCAAAGTCAAATGGGAGGCAACACGGATGTTCACTGTTTGATGTAGGCCAAAGTCATAAGGCATATAGCAGCAACTGGAGTCTGAATCAACTCCGTCTATTCACGTTTTCTTATGATGAGTAGAAATATATTGCACTTTGAAGACAAACTGAAAAAATAATCTCACAGGTAACGACAGCAACGAGTACCACCGAAGAGAGTCATGCAAGTGGTGATGGGCTCCTCGGAGGTGAAGTCTACCACGGCGAAGCTGAATCTCTGTTGCACAGTCCGACTGTCGAAGGGTTGACCATCCTGTCGAGGAGGCAGCCCCCAAACTGCTGTACTTTTTTCAAGAGTACCTATTTGCATACTGGCAAACAAACATCTCCCTTTGTGTGGTTCTGTTTTTGTGGCATTTTAGTCTAGCTGCCCGTCCTCCCGTCTGCTTTTCCTCTTGAGGTTCTTCTTCTTGGCAAAGATCACTTTTCTCGTAGAACGCAGACGCCCGCGTCGCACCGCTGCGTCGCCATCGAAGTGACAACCTCCCAGGAGTCGATGACCGGGTCGTAACATTCAATACTGCTGAGGAGAGAGTTCCCGTCATATCTACAGAGATGTGAGACAAACAGAGGAAGTGAGAGCTCTAACCACAACGATCAGCACGAGGATGTTTCACAATATAATGATCCACATAAATCTGATGACTTGTCTGATGAGGAGAGAAGAAGACGACGAAAGAGTTAATTTAAGTCTGAAACCACTTAAAGGACAGGTTCACAATTTTTAAGATCTTTCTAAAAACAACAGTCAGATGCCTGTGTGAACATTTAAACAGGTTTTGCTTGCTGTAATCGTTCCTCCTGTTCATACTGGCCATTAAGAGATCTCTTACTGAAGTGCTTTCAGTGTAAAAGATGTAGGACAAAATTCACAATCCTCCTCCTGTGCACAAACATGTTCAAAAAAGGTAGACAAATAAAGTCGGGATCTTCCAATGTTACAGTCTTTTCGTTACTATGCCCCATGGATGTATTAAAGAACTGGATACGGTGACACTGCTCAGCCCTGCTTCCATTTTTTTCCAGTGGCCAATTCATCATTCATCATTGCATCGAAAATCCCCCGTGGCCCAAAACCCATTTTCTTCATAGACGACAAGAGACATCTGTGAAACTGTTGACAACACACCTCGAACTGCAAACAAAATCAATTGTGACTCTTTCTATTATAAATTTTTGATCTATGCAGGTTTTATATAAGTAAAACTTCCCCAGAAAAGTGATTTTAAAAAATTGTGATGTCATTACAATGTAAAGTCTACCAGCCAAGCAGGAACTTGCGCGTGGAGCCAGAGGGAGAAACACTTCTGCGTATACTCAGTGGGCCACATGACCCAAGAGGTAGCCTGGAAGCTAGAAACTTTTTGGGTATATCCACCAGGTGCGCAATTGTCATTGGAGTATTCCAGATCTAATAATACATCCATGATATGCCCTCACTGATGCGCAACTGTAAACACTGATCGGTGAAACAAAGTGCGGTGAGATGATAAAATATGATGCAGGAAGTCCAGTTTGAGTTACATATCCATTGGTCTGAAGCTTATCAGGCACCAAAACACCACACAGAGGTTTATAATACTACAAGGGAGGATTTCACTGCTCTGGACTGATGTAACAGTAGCAATCATTTTATCTTTCATTGCACTCACCTACAGCCCTAGTAGACAATCCTTCAAAAACTGATGTTGCTGCAAAGAAGCTACTGTTTGTAAAACGTGGATGCTTCACACACAAAATTTGGGGGAATTCCCTCAGGGCGTTCTTGAGATATCGCATTCACAAGAATGAGATGGACGTACAGCTATACAGAGACACAACACAAAAACATAATGCCTCTGTCCAGAGCTGTCGCTGGAGTGGAGGCATTAAAAATTTAAACCTACCCTTTAAACCCACTGTCACAGTCAGAAGGACATTAGAACTCTTTCTTACCCGGCGATGGCGTAGAGACGTCCTCTGAGGACAGTTGCTCCTACGTAACATCGAGGCGTGGTCATACTGGCTACAGTGGTCCAATAGTCTGTTCTGATGTTGTAAACCTCCACAGAGTCGAGGTGTGAAACACCATCAAAGCCTCCCACCACGTAGATGTGGTCGTTGAGTAATGCCACACCAGCGCCTGAAAACAGCAGAAAAGTCTCAGATACACAGAATCACACACAGTCAGCTGGAATATTTAACTTCATCCTCTTTTCTTACCTACCTGACCGCTTAGTGGCCATGGGTGTAACACTGGTCCAGTGGCCTGTGTGTGGGTCATACCGCTCCACTGAATTTAGGATGTTTAGTCCGTCGTATCCACCTGTGAGGAAATATCAGGGACGTGACGAGTGTAGAGATGCTTACAAAAATAATCATACGTAAGCTGCAGCCTGAATACGACGTGTCAAAGATTATCTATCCACACCTAGACAGTATATGAGTCCACTGGCCACCACCAGACCAGCTCCTTCTCTGGCAGTCTGCATATCTCCCAGCATGCTCCACTGGTCAATGTTAGGGTCGTATCGCTCCATGCTGGTGTGACGCCGGCTGCCATCGAAGCCCCCAGCCACGTAGATCATGTCTGTCGAGAGCAAAATCAGATCAGGAACAGAATATTGTGTCAATTTCTAACAGAAAACATTCACAGAAAGTTTCACATAAACTCCAGCAAAGGTGTGAGTCATTAGGAAGAGACAGAAACTTGCTCACCTCCGAGTGTCGTGGCTCCAGCGAGGCCACGGCGCACATTCATGGTGGCGACCGTGTACCAAACACCGTCCTCGTCTGCTGTGTAGTCCAGGCACTCCACAGAGCTGAGCCTCGACCGTCCGTCATAGCCTCCGATGACATAAACTCGATCGTGGAGAGACACCGTGGCGACGTAACGTCTTTTCCGTGCAATGTTCTGTTAAACACACACCAGTCTGTATCAGGCAAATCTACAAAGATAAAGAACGTCACCACACTCTCTTATAAATATTCAGTACTTACAGGAAGGAAACTCCATTCTTGTGTTTTCGGATCATATTTCTCAACTATGTCTATCGGTGATTGTTGGCTGCCAAACCCACCTATAACCAACAGGACTTCTTTGGCACCTGAAGAGACGAATAAATCACTTTTACTGTCAGTGTGGATTACAAAATAAGGACACATGCATGTAGCTAAATTGCTATGAGAAAAAAAAAAGGATTCTCACCTAATCTTGCTTGTGTGCGTGGGCCCTGCATCTCACTCCTCAGCTCCGGTCTTAAGTGGAATTTCTTGGCTTCATCAACGAGGTCTCGACATGGCAGGCTACACCGAATGAGGGGCTGAAACGTGTCAAAACACGCTTAATTATGGTGCTAACTGTGATAAATACTTCAACACATAATCCAAGCTTGGCGTGTGATTTACACATCAACCTGCTGCATGTCGTCTGGCTCACCTCGGCATCAATGACATCTGTAATGTAGCGGGGGGTCAGGAGTGGCAGTCGGACGAATTCGAGCATGTCTGGCAGGTAGGGCTCTCGCTCTTTGCGGTTGTGTTTGACCCAGTTTAACACGGCTTCAAACACAGGCTCCTCTGAGTCCACCTACAGACAGACAGCACACACACACAGAGAAGAGTTACAGCTCCATTTAATTAAACAATTAGCTGACAAGTGCAGTAAAATATTCATTGTCTAACTCAGCCATTCGTCTCCAACTATAATCATTAATTGTTGTGTAATCAAAAAACACAATGTGCAACAACGCAGCCTGCTGAAGGTGAAACAAGCTGTAAATTCCTTTACATGAGAACGATGACACATGGTTTCACTGACCGTGACTGTGAATGACATGTACGGTCTAGTTTTGTGTTAAAAACAACAAAAATGACAGGATGAACCATTCGAGAGATTTGATGATGTATAAATCATTTTGTGATAATAGCTGTTTTCACAAAGCAGGGCGTGCGGTTGGGGGCAGGAATTTCCTGAGCACAAAGACAAACCTAAATCAGGTTTTCTTCTCTGCAATTTTATTGTCAGCTCAATCCGCAAAAGCGAGTGGAATTAAGAGGGGGGCCCACCGACTGAGATTACAGCAGGTTGGTACTTGTTTTTCTGTCTGTGCAGTCAGGTGTGTGAAAGACAATCAGAGAGCTGTGAAAGTCAGGTGACACTTTGCTATTTTAGCTGCTTGTCAGGCACCTTAACACAAATTCTAACCACGACAGTAAACACAGGTAGAAACATAAATGTACTAGGGAGCAGATACGTCATTATAAGCCCTGTTTCAATCAACAAACCTTAAATTTCAATATGACAATTTTGACCATCACTTTAGTTTTTATATGACAGACACTTTTAGTAATGAGTGGATCTTCAAGCGTTTATATATATTCATTTCGACTGGGTTATGTAAATGTATATATATATATATATATATTCTAATCCTCACCCAGAGAAAAAAAAAAGTGTTGCGGAGCATTTTTCCTGTGGGCTCCAACAACACTAAATCCTTGAGCTTGCCTGAGAAGGACTAAATGCACAAACCCCACTATTTTTAAATATCCCATGGAGACAGACTCTCACTGCAGCCTGTTCTATTTTGTTCTGAAAATGTCGGCGTGCAGCCTCGTTCTGTGGACGATTGGACTTTTGGTTCCAAAGGTACTATACTGAAAGTGTTTGATGGAAACGGGGCTTTATAATCTACCTGTAACCTTTTTATCAACACGTATATTTTTGGACAAACCCCTTTGCAATCACCAACATTCTGTTCAGTAACTGTCATTTAATTACAAATTTTTACTAAGTAACTGATTACAATTTCCTTTATTTTGTAAACTAATTATGTAACTCAATAACTAGTTACTCCCCAACACTGAACACAATTCATCATTTCACAGAAGTCTCATGACTCTGTTCACTGATTAGCTGTGGTTATTCTCTGGCCACAATTCTGGCTGAAAGTTAAACTATCACCCAAAGTTTCAGTTTGACCGCACTTTGCTGCAGAATCAAACAGCCGCAGCCCTGAGCTGCCATCCCTGCTTTCTATAGACACTGCATGGCAGGTCACCGCAGGCTGCACTTTGGAGCTGCTTAGTGTGTTTTTGTCGTTAGGACAATAAAAAGCAGAACAAACAGACCGAAAAACAGCTTCTTTCCTAGAACTGTCCTCTGTCACCCCTCCTCACTGGCAGAGACTGAAAAAGACTACATGCTGTAAACATTAACCTCATCAACCCTTCCCAAAAACACACTCAAACTGTGTGACACTGTGTCCATATTTTGCTTGTCTGTATTTTGACTCTGTTTATTTTGCTTGTTACTAATTTGTTTGTTACTTTTATGCACACTACTGAGGAGCTGCTAAACTGATTTTCATTGTTCTGAGCACAATGACAACAAAAATTTATTCTATTCTATTACAGTGTTCAGTTACAGCAGATCAAGCCGCCTCGACTGAGAATAAAGTACAAAACAACTCGTTTCCTTACCTGGATTTCATCACATTTTATGAGCTTTTCGACTTCTGTCTGACTGAGCAGCATGAACTCCTCGTGCTGAACCACCTCGGAGAAATGCTTCTGGGAGAAGAGCTCAGCGGCCTGCATCAGGTCGAGGCAATTGTGAGTTTCAGCAAAGTCGCGAATGCCCAGACAGTTGGAAGGATCGAGCTGACTCTCCAAAAAATCACAACACGCTCTCTTTACCCCTAAGGAAGGCAAAGAAAACACATTTGTTTTTATTTACACTGGTGTGGGATTGAAATTCCTCATGTTATTCAGCAACTCTTAATTTGAAAATACCAAAGACAACTGCAAAATGGTGTCTTGCCTCAAAGATTCTGCAGGGTTCAATGAGCTAAAGTTAAAACCTTTTGAGACCTATTTTAAGACCACGTTTTTTGATCATACCAGCCGAAGTTTAAAAGTGTGATGGAAAACAAGCATGGATGATAAGGTGTAAAATTATTTGACATTTTAAAATTTGACTGTAAGCTTCCCGTATACTGTGGCTAACAGTGTTGACAGTGTTTGCTGCAAGTCTGATGCTGCTGCTGACTGAATTTCCACAAAAAAGAAGTGAACAGCCTCCTGCAGCACGACTCTACTGTCGAACAATGCCACTTTTAGTTTGAAGTGTATAAAACGTCCAGCAACCACCCACAATCACACACAAAGACATTTTCTAACTAAAATATCTATGTGCAGCAGGCAAGAGAAAATATCTAAAACATTTGTTTATAAGTTAAAACTGTTTAATATCCACTTTTGGGCCAAATTCAATTATTTTCAAGACCCACAGATACCCTTTGATTATACTCACAATGATATCAGATGGCTTGAACACACACTTTTCACATGAATGTACAGCAAGCACTCCTGATTTTACCTTTGAGCTGCAGTAAGCACGCTGCAGGAAGCAGCTCTTGCACGTTCTCCACTGTAACTAGCACCGTCTCTGTGTACACAAAGTCCAAAAGGATCTCCATAGTTGCTGCAGTGAGCCCCTGAATGTCGACAAAAGATTTCCCCTTCTCTGCGAGCTGCAGAATCACAGAAACAGAGAATATCAGGCACAGTGACAAGGAACATATATGTAGAAGGATTAGTCAGAAGCATCGGGTATTCTCCTGTAGCAATACTGATAATTGTCTTGTTTACTAAAGTCAAACACTGCCTTATTCCTCATATATGCATGTCTAGCATCAATTTTTAATTTTATTGTCCTGATTGTCTGAACTGTAATTTTACTGCTTGGTCTATTCTGTGCACATGACATGTATTACATGTGTGTCTGTCTTGGAAGACTGATTCCTCTTCATTTGCAGTTCTTCCATTTTTTTCCCCGTTAACGGTTTTATTGGGGGAGTTTCTACTTGTCAAAATCTAGAGTCTAAGGACAGAGGGTGTCATATGTTGTACACACTGTAAAGCCCCTTGAAGCAGATTTGTGATATTGGGCTATACAACTTGACTTAGACTCAGAAAAGCCAATAAAAGACTGAAGAATAAACAGATCATACTCAGATGCGTTCATCTTTGTCCCTGAGAAGATTCCTTTGTTCCCTTGAAAATAAAAAGCCATATGTGAAAAACAAACTGTTTCAATTGATCCACACTGCATGGAAAATAATAGGTGTCAAAGAGCACATTTCCATGCAGTCGATTTTTGATCATGCTACTCTAAGTCAAGCCAATAAGATCATCACTGACTCCTCTCACGTTCTGCATTCAGAGTACGAGCTGCTGCCCTCTGGTAGGAGATTTAGAGTGAGTCGTTAAAACACTGAACAGATTTAAAAATCCATTCATACCTCTGTCTGTAAAGCTTTTAAACAATGGCAGATAAAGCCAAATCTGGCATTGGATTTTGCTACGTTGGGTATAATGTTGATTTGTCTATGTGCTATGTAATATGTTGTATTTCTGTGGCTGCAGTATGTGTGTAGGGCCCAAGACAAATTTCCAACTCTGTAGGACAATGAAGTTGATAATATTAACGATTCAATGTCTTTCGGAGCACTCCAGCATTTATAGCATTACCTCACTGGTGAACATGGCACAAAAGTAGTCACTGCAGGCAGCCAAGACGATCCGGTGCGCCGGAAAATCTGTGTTCTCCACCCTCAGTGTGATATCACAGAGTGTGTTGCTCTTGCGAAGTGAGTTCATGGCATTGAGGATGGATTTGGCGTGAGAGTTGGTCATGATGTCCTTGGGAGCCATGTTGCCTTGAGAATCGCTCACAGATCTCAAACTACTCCAGGAATCTAAAACAGATAAGACAAGCTTTGTTGAGAACAATCTTGAGGAGGAGACACTTCTTTATACTCACCTTTCACTGCATCATTTGCACATAAAACACTTACTGTGTGTCTTATCATTTGATGAGTGATTGAGTATATATGAGTGCATTAAATGAGTGTGAAAGTGTGTGAGATTGAAACTTGTGTTTCAAGGTGACAGAAAAGGGTGTTTGCTTGATGTGTAAAAAGTTAGAAAGCCAGAGAAACAAAGATGTAAATTATATTCAGGTACTGTACTTTAACACTGTTTTGAGATATTAGTGCTTAACTTGTACAATTTGTGAGACTTGCACTTCATTTTTGAGTATAATATAGTACTGTATACTCATTTATGTCATTTGTATGATAGCTGTAGTCAGCAGATTAAGATTTTTCATGCAAAACATGGCAAACTAATAAAAACGTGTCCCATCTTCAGTAACAGGAATTTGGGGTTTGATATAAAACTACACATTTTTGTGCTAATAATTGATGCTTAAGGGAATTTTTGAGTGCAAGTGAGTCATTTATAACTTAGTAATTTAGTGTTATTGCTAATGCAACTTACCGTTAAAAGATCTGAATACTTTTTCCACCACTGGGAGGCAATAACTATAGCTACACATTAGCAAGCAGCAGCCAACGACAGCTGAGGGCTAACGCCAACGCTAGACAACAACTAGGAAAACAAACAGGCATGTAAAGTGAGCCGAGGCCAGAAGAAGACAACACATGAAGCGACACACACAGAAGAACTTGGCAAGAATTTGTGTAATACCTGTCGCAGCCGTAAAGCTGATTCAAAACGTCTAGCTAAGTTGTGTTGCTAGCTAACGTTAGTAGCACCAAAGTCCCTTGTCCCAGTTCCTGCTGTCAGTCACACTGCCTGGAGAACAGCCACTGAACTACAGCTAATCCATGATGACCTCTGATAGGTCACAGCACGCGCCGCCTCCTCGAAGACATATGTGTCTAAAATGTCACATATAATCTCATATCGTCCTCGGTGCGAGTTTTAACCAGCTCGGATATCTCGTTGACTAAACTGCAGCAGGTCACAGCAGCACAGACTCCACAGATTGGACGTAAACAGACCATTACGTGTGTACGTGCGCGCTCCCGCAGTAGGACGCGTCACGTCCCAGACACAAGATGCCTTCCGCGCGTCCTCGCTGCTCTGTCTCTACAGCTGCCGTTGAAATGGTAAAGTGAGAATTTCTTGATACTAAAGTTGTGTATTCTGGTTTTATCAGGAGATTTAAATCGCGAAACACACCCGGAGAACCCGGAGTGGATTATAATCTCTTTTAAAAAAACACATTGTGCTCTTTTTTTAGCCACCGGAGGACGGCGGCTGCACCGTGTAGGAGGAGCCAGCGGCGTGTTTCCGCTAACCAGCGCCGAGAGAGGTAACACGGTAATCTATGCTGCCCTGCTGAGAATTACAGGATATTGGCGGAACAGTTGTCAGCTATTGCGGGACACTGTTAGAGTAAAAACTGCTAAATCACCGGGGAGCTGCGGGTGTCCATATCTGGGGAGAAAGAAGAAGAAGGAGTGGCAGCTGGACTGTCAGCAATGGAAGCCGAGTTTCGGGAAATCGATGAAAACGGGAGTTGGAGCGCCATTTATCAGGTAGGACCTCTCCGGCAAAACCAAGGTGGAAATGGACTGTTAGTGAAGCTCATACTTTCAGGACCAAATGTTAGCTGTAATGCACGATGAGACTGCAGCAGCGGAGCTACCAGTCAGTGTAGTTATCAGCCTTGTTCGTGTTTAGTTGAGTCCGCGGATCAATGCGATGATTGATGTGTCTCCCTCGGTCTCAAGCAAGCAGCACCTCCTATCACTTTACTGTTATATTACTGTATATTACATACAAGCTGTACATGTGGTGTCACCTTTTGTTTATTTCAGCTTTTACTCACCTTGGATCAGTGGTTGGAAGTACTCACATCTTGTACTTGAGTAACAGCAGCAATACTACAAGTAAACCCTGCAGTCAAACCCTAATTAAGTAAAAGTACACAAGTATTAGCACCAACTATATGTAAATATTAAAAATATACTCATTATACAGAATGGCTATTCACAAAACAGATTAAAAATACAAGTACAATTCATAGGAAATAATCAAGATGTGAAATGGTACTATCTGACAAGCTATCAAATCTTGAGCTAAGGGGCCCAGACATGAAACTGATTGTATTTTTAAAATGTGTTCACTAACAAGTAGTCTAGAGGTTAGGAAAAGTGCATGTAATATCTTCCTGAGACCCTTTGTCCTCATATGAGGACACAAAATTTTGGGTTTACTTGATTTAATGCTTCATTCTGCCTAATTTAGACCTGTTGTCCTCGTTCGTGGACACTTGTTTGTGCCATCTAGTGGTAGTAAGAGCACAATACACAAGGTTTGAAACCTGATCTCATTTCATAGTTGAAACTTATTTATTTATGATTAATAATGTTTGTAGTTTGATTTGATAACAAATTTGACCACTTTTAGCAACAGTAGCAAGCTGTTAATTAGGAAGTACTTGTTTGAGGACATTGGGACTTAACTGGGTCCTACTGATCCCAAATAGCTAGGAGGAATTAAAAATGCACACCAAACAAATGTTCGGGTCTTAAAAGGATTCACAGTAACATTTATAACCTACAAAACTCCCAAGACTAACCAAAGATCTAGACTAAACTACCCTAATGCTAACTACAAAATTGTCCCAAGACATTTAATCCATCAGTCTAAACATTGGTTTCATCGGTGAGAATCACACACTAGGTTAAAATAAGTGATGCAGATATTGTGCAAGCATCACTCATGTTGCAGCCGGTAACTGTGGAGCTATTTCTGGCTACTTAATATACTGCTGAGAAACTTAATGTATTAGTTGGTACTTTAGTTGTATTTTGTATCGTCTGAATCAGCAAAGAAGCTGACTCGGTGGCAACTGCAGTGGTAAAAAGTTGGCGCCAAAATTGTTGTGGAGAAGAAGTCTAAGGAGAATAAAATGGAAATTCTCAATTAAGGTAACATATTTGAGTAAATATACTTAGTTATATTCCAACCACTGCCTTAAATGAACTTATTTTAATTGTCTGTCCACAGTTTTCTGCACAGAATTTCCATTATTTACAGCTCAGTGTGTTATTATATTTTCACAGTTTACTTAGATGAGTGGGCGTGCTAACATACCACACACCAAAATGTTTTTCTACAGAATTAAATAAAGAAACAACCCCCTTTCAAGAGTCATTATACATGCTAAGATTTTAGGTTTTAAAACAACCACAGGGACACAACCTGCACCATTCATGTCACATCAGAACTCAAATGTCATGTAAATGTAATGCTAATGTAATGCTATTTTTGTATCCTGTCACAGGAGATTCGCCAGCAGTCATGTGAACTCCCGTGCAAGGTTGCCAAATTACCTGAAAACAAGACTCGGAATCGTTACAGAGATGTTAGCCCATGTAAGTTGCTCTTTTGTCTCTCTGAATGCACCACACAGAAAAAAAATACTCCTTTACATTGATGACAGCTCTGTGATCGGCTGTTAATGTTCAAGCGTAAGCCAGCGGTAACTTATTCTGTAACGTTACAGCAGCACAATGTTAAACTGAGTCTTCCACAGTTGAATGTTATACAAGCATGCCAGCTTACTGCTGTTTGACCTCAGTCATTTGAAACAACACAATGTCAGTATTACACAATAGGCAGAGCGCTGCCTCACTGTGGACGCACGTAATAAAGGATGTGACTTCACATAAAATAACTTATGCTCTTTTTTTTTGAAGAGAGAAAGTACAAAGAGGTGAAGCTACATGAGGGTGGCAACATAATAATCATCTGTATTTAAAACCCATTTGTATAGGCTCGCTTTTATGTAATGCTGAATGACATTTAACAACAGCTTATGTGCACCTGTATTCTCATCACACAACTAGACACTGACAAATGATTAAAAAACAAAGTAAAGTTGTATTGGAAACTGGAGAGAAAGGAAACAGCAGGAAATGAATCACACCAATTTGTCATAACAATCTTAAACCAAACAATCAGACAAGTATAAAACTCTGTGGACACGCTTCAGTTGATCTATTAAAACGTCACATCAATCACGAGTGCCTGTCTCAGCAGATTTTATTCACATTTTTAAATACTGTATCTATTTTGAACTTTTCTCCTATTTAATCTCACATTTTATTCTTTAAAACACATTGAAAACATATCTAAGAAAGGACTATATAAGTACATTTAATTGTTATTATCATTTATGTTCAGCCATCCTAGCAGACACACTGTTTTTAACCACAGCTGTGTCTTTCCATGTAATAATATTTATTTGGTGTGGTTCAGTGTTTAAAATGAATTATTATTCAATATTCTTTCCTGTAATATCACCATCCAACAGCTGAACTATGTGGTTTCCTCTTTTTCACACTGAATAAGCTATGCAAATTATGCAGAGTAGTTACTGTATATGTGCTGTCAAGTGTGTGAAAATGTGAAAAACCGTAAACTGAAACTCGCTCGTGCTATTTACTTTTTAACTGAAATGTTCCTTCAGTGGACGCATCAAAAACAAAGTTGACATTATGTGTCTCAGTATTAAAAAGCTACCAGCTGTGTTTTGTTCAACGACACGACCGGTCATATGTTCCCAGCAGCTGTGTCGGTCTGAGAAGTACATTTTTAGTCCCCTGAGGGTTGTGACATGTTTAAAGCACACAGGCATATTTTTCTTCTTCTCCTCAGTTGACCACAGCAGAATATGTCTGCAGCTGGGTACGAACGACTACATTAACGCCAGCCTAATAACAGTAGAAGAGACACAGAGGAACTATATCCTCACTCAGGTAAGCACGAGTCAGTACACACTCCTCAGACACAGATGGTTCCACGCTTACACAGAATTCAAACCTCTTATTTATATGGTATTGCACAATGTTTATACCAGGGAAAAACTGTGATGCAAATACTGTGACAGCAGCAAGGAAGTAGGTATGGGTGGGGCTATTGTCTCTGCTGTGGCATAGAAAACTTCACACTGAAGTCAGAGGTTTCTCCAGAAACTAAATAAATAAATAAATATAGACAAAGACAGAGAGATTTAGCCTGCCCTAAGTTATAAACATGGGGCTGACAATTCAAAAGCCCCTCTGAAACAGTTTCAACTGAACATCATGAAGGTCGGATTTACTGGCAAGGAGAAAGGACACTGAAACAGAAGGACAATATTGAGTTTGTCAGTATAAGTTTTTTCTCTCTGGCAGACATAGGGCACTAAAATAATGCCTTATCATGCTGACATGTAAAGGCCCTGTCACACCAAAGCAACTTCAGAGAGCTAGCTGCAATAAAAGCACCGTGCTGTGTTGCCTGACTTCAAAAAGGGAAACTGGAAGACTGTCTTGACTCCTTTTTGGCCAGTTAGCACTTTAACAACACCAGTCTTGAAAGAACAAGGTATATGTACTGTACGCCAGTGAACAATAACACAAACCATCGGGGAACGTTTCTGCTGAAGTGCTCAATGGCCAAAGAAAAAATAATCTCACCTAATGGAACAAGTTTGTTTTGGACTTTCTCCCTCTTAAAATGAGATGTTTGTTTACTTTCCTCACTTCCGTTTCTCTTCTCATACACTGAGGTAAGCTGCCAAAAAGTGATGTCATTCAGTTACGGACTCTGCCATAGCTGTCACCGATTCACCATGCATAATCACCCCCCCCCCCCCCCCCCCCCCCCCCCCCCACCCCCACACCACCCCCCCCCCCCCCCCCCCCCCCCCCAAAAAAAAAAACAGGGTTTAAAAAGGGTCAACAGATTCTCACCGATGGCCCAACGTTAACTGACGGACAAATATCAGCTTGGTGTGTCATGGCCTTAATGTTTCTAGCTAGCTATGAGAATTTTGTTAGCAGTTCAGCGCTTGGTTGTATATTGTGTATCTCTGAATGCTTCCTATGGGTGTGGTTTTGTTATGTTTGGTTTTGAGTATGACACACTGCACTATGTCTATATACTGCTAATAAATCAAAGGCTTCCTCAAGACACTAGGCGTAGGCAATCGTAAAAATCAGGTGTTATTAAGGATAGGGTAAGTAGTCACATAGGAATATAAAGCAATGGATGTCCAGCTTACTCACTGTGAAAGTCCATGGTATGGGCCAGCAGTCCAAAATGCATCCGAGGCACTCTGACTGTGGTAGAATAGTTTATAAATTTTTGGATAGATTCTTGATGAGTTTTAAATTGACTATCTGTCCCCAGTGCATTTAATACCCTGATGAAGACTCTTATGGGCCAGCAGTCCAAAAATAGTTTGTGGATAGACTCTTGATGAGTTTTAAATTGATCATCTGTCCCCAGAGCATTTTATACCCTTAGAATTAAATTATTCTTTTAACCCCAAAAGCATGAACAAACAGCAAAAGTTTTTTTTAAATCCTCAGATTGCTTACAGTAAGTAGCCTGAGAATTGAAACGTGGTTATAACAAAGTCCACAAATCCCTTGCTGCTGCTCATGAAGCTTGTCGCTGTGAGTGACTCAGTTGAGTGTTTCAATATTTTTATCAACTATTCCCATCGCTCATCTGGATTTTGGCAGCTGGACAGTAAGAGCAGTGAGGTCCCAATGGGAGATGCCCACTTGGTCTTTAGTATGCAGCTGAAGTTTAGATTTCAGTGTTTGTTGAGCCTAGTATTTAGACTGTACACTGAAGATTTAATATATCCGTCTCTTCTGTAGAAGTCTTTTTTAAGAATATCAAATGCCTTGCAGAAATCTTTAAATAGATGCACTGTTATTATTTAGCTATACTAAGAATAAATTCCTCTCTGCTAACACAACAGTTGTTCTTTTTTTTCCTCAGGGACCCCTTCCAAATACATGTGGCAACTTCTGGGAGATGGTGTGGGAGCAGAGGACCCGTGGTGTAGTGATGCTGAACAGAGTCATAGAGAAAGGATCTGTAAGCACTGGCTTTTCTTCTTACAGTGTGACTTTCTTAAAATGTGACAGTCCTAGTAACCTCACTGCTCTTCTCTTTCTGTTATGTGCATCTTTGTTTTGTTTTAGATTAAATGTGCCCAATATTGGCCACAGAGAGAGGAGAGAGATATTATCTTTGAAGATACCAATTTCAAGCTCACCTTTGTCTCAGAGGACATCAAATCTTACTACACAGTCCGTAAGCTGGCGTTGGAAAATCTGTCTGTAAGTTTTTTCTCCTCTTTAGACTTTGTGTGTGTGAAAGTGTACATGGTTTCAGATTAGGACTGAAGTCTTTTTATTTAAGAGGTTTTTTAATTCTTCTTTGCATGTTTGATTTTCTTTTACAGACTCAAGAGACTCGTGAGATTTTACATTTTCACTACACCACCTGGCCTGACTTTGGGGTACCAGAGTCTCCTGCCTCCTTCCTTAACTTCCTGTTTAAGGTGCGGGAGTCGGGTTGTCTGAATTCAGACCACGGACCAGTGGTGGTGCACTGCAGCGCCGGCATTGGACGCTCCGGGACATTTTGTCTTGTGGACACCTGCCTCTTATTGGTTTGTACAGAGCTCTGCTGTTAAGGAATCACGACATTAACTGTCTGTCTGTAAAATAGATTAACACTAAAGCCTGTGATTGATTGTTAAACCAATATTAATGAAACTGACTCTGCTGCTGTAGAACTGAATTATATTCAGTAGCTAAAGACTCAGGACTCTTAAAACTCAATGTTTTTGCTGTGTTATGTAGATGTCCATGCGTAAGGACCCGTCTTCAGTGCGTATTCGTGACATTCTGCTGGAGATGCGACGCTATCGAATGGGCTTGATTCAGACAGCAGATCAACTCCGCTTCTCCTACCTTGCTGTCATCGAAGGTGCCAAGTACATCAAAGGAGATACATCTGTGCAGGCAAGTCCTTCCTCTCAACTCTGCTCTTTGTTCTGAAGTTAGAAATTTCGCTAAGTTTATGCGCTATTCGACATAAGGCAAAACTCCCAGTTTTTGCAAATACTCAAAGAGATTTTGTTTTTTCTCAAGGAGTCATGGAAAGAGCTCTCGAACGAGGAAGATGATCCTCCAGAGTTCACCCCTCCGCCTCCTCTTCCTCCTCCCAGAGACCCTTACAATGGCAGAGTTGAGCCATCCTTTTTCCCTGAAAATGATGAGGTCATCCAACAGATGGAAATCCGCAGTCTGGGGTAATTATCTGAATAATGTTTTGGAAAAATTTTGTTTCAGTTTGACTATCGTCGTTAGTTGGAAATATTTTTTAAAGCAGAACAGTATTTGGTTGCATCAGCTATTTGTAAACCAGCTTGATGATATAGTGAACACCTGACAAAACTTGTAAATACAGTAATGACTTTGTTTTATTTATATGTGCAAGCATTAGAAATATGTGTTCCACAGTTAGAGGGTTTATGAGTACTCCTGAAATATTAAAATACTTGATTAGGGTAACCTAACTGACGTCATTTGGTCCTTCAGTCCAAGGTAATAACATTACATTTTGTTAGTTTGGTGAAATGTACATTAAAATAATCCTTGTTTACATCATTATTAAACACCGTCTTATGAAGTGTTGGGGCGGATGTGTCAACCATATTTGATATGACTGTTTCTGAAGATGTTTTATTAGCAAGCTAAGCCGTGGGTTGCTCAGTTTCCATGAGGATACAGCCTGTTACATCTTACGTAGATTTTAAAAACTAAAGTGGTTGTTGTGTTCGTAAATCCAAACTGATTCTCTACACACTATTTTAATGTAGCCTTTTATTTCTATATCCTCCTGAGACCGGGACTTTTGTTTGGTATGCATTTTTAATGTCTCCTAGCTATTTTGGATCAGTTGGACCTGATAAGTATAAAAAACGAAACACTATCAATGATAATTACTTCCCAATGTCTTCAAACGAGTACGTACTAATTAACAGCGCCTTAGCTTAGCTTCTATTCCATATCAAACTACAAATAATATTAATCATAAATAAACAAGTTTCAACCATACAATGTGATCAGGTTTTGGACCGGGTCCACTTTTGTATCAGGGTCGGCTGCAGACTGACTTGGAAGATACGTCTGCCATCTTGTTTTTACATGGATTAGTGCATTGTGCAAATTATCCTTCCGCATGTTGACCAACGGAAACCTTGTTACAACTTTTACTTCTTTGAGACAGTCAAGTTTGATCATCTTCTCGGCGCTCTGCCAGGGCCACTAGATGGGATAAAAAAGTGTCCAAGAATGAGAAGAACAGGTCTGAGTTAAGTAGAATGAAGTATAAGGTCAAGGAAACCCAAAATTTGATGTCCTCATATGAGAACACAGGGTTTGAGGAAGATATGAATGGACAAATGGTTAAGTTTCATTGACACTGCGCCTGGTGCTCTGCTGCTCCCGCTGTTTAGAATACGATCAGCTGCTCCGAGAGTGTGGTGCTCTGAATAACCCAGTGGTATTCTAACAGCACTCCAAATTAGTTTGTGCCAGAGTGTGCTTTAGCGCTCAGAGTGACTTTTTGCTAATGCACCAAATGTGTTTGTGAGAAAGAGAGACGGATCGCGGAGCACAACCTCAAAAATAGAAGATCAATATGTGGCGGTGAATGTTAATGTGGCGGGCCACTACAAATACATTAAATGAAGGTTAACTAACTTGCACGGGGACATTAAAGCCATCCTTTACTCAACTCAGGTCCTCACAAGACTCAGGGCTGCGACAAAGGAACATTGCTGCCCCCCAGCCTCCTGCTGACGGTGCCCAGCTCGATGGCCACATGGGAATCGGAGATCATTCCTCCAAAGCTCCGACCATATCTGAGCAGCAGCAGGAGATGGAGGAGCAGGAGTTACCAGAGACAGCGCAGCAGCAAAAAGAAAGCTCTCCTGTGCCGGGGACTTGGTCCCCTCTACTAACCAATGTGTGCCTGTGCACGGCGCTGGCTCTCAGTGCTTACGTCTGTTATCGAGCCTGTTTCCACTGATGTCTGTCCTTCCTTCCTTTTTTTGTTTTCCCTGTCTCTCCACTGATGTTGCAAAGTGGACTCGGCTGACCCATCAGCCTGCTTTGACTCTGAGTTTACTCTGTGAGTGAGTGGATTGTTTGGACTTGCAGATTCAGGTTCACTCGTTTATTTTACAAATGCAGTGCGAAGTGGTTGGCTGGTTGGGATTAACAGGCTGCCAGTCCTCATTGCCCCACTCAAATATACTTTCAGTACGTCATCATGGATGCTCAGGGCCTCAGTTTTTCAGGTGTCACATCGCAAATACGTGTCCCGACTTAAACACAGACGATACATGTCTGTCGAGGAGGAGGGTTTTGTTTTAGCTCCCCTGTTCTGTGAACATGATGAATGGCCTGTCAGACATTTTACACGTGTTTCCTCTCATATTTACCAAATGACACTTTTATTTGTTCTTCCATTTCATCCTTTATGAAGGTGTCTGTTAGGATTTCACACATTTCTCCACCTTATCTTTCTTTTGCTTTCATAAATGATCAGAAATCACAGAGCCAGATTTTTGACCAGCCTGTCTGAAAACATGCCAGTAAGGGAGACACTTTTATAAACTTTTTTTTTTTTCTAATGGGTCAATATTAAACCCAACAGTAAGGTGAAGTATGTGAACGTAAGAGGGAAGCAATCCTGTGCCCACGAGATAAGAGATGCATGCTGGGGTGGGCATTGAATTATCTGCCCTCACTGGTCGGCCTGTGTAGGGCTGCAGGAGGCATGCTAGTTGAGTACATACAGTACATGTGTGTGTTTTTGTGTGTTTGTGTATTTGGCGCGAGTGGTAGTTAGTGGAGCTTTCTACTGATGCTTGACTTAAATCTACTCAGTGAGAAATGATTAATATAACATTTACAGAACGTCAAATGTGAGCTGTAGACTGAGTTACCTCCGGGTAACTGATTCCCTCTGGTTTTCTTTCCCTGGTGGCTCAAGAATTCCCCCCACTGTGGGATCAATAAAGTTTATCTTATTGTAACAGTGACACAGAAATGTCTTTAAAAAATGGTGCAGAGACAAGGTGGCATGTCTGATTGTCCATTTATCTGGCATTCTCAAATTGACATTGGCTTTTGATTTAAATGTTTTGGATCTTTTCAGTCACAGTGGATAAAAATGTGTGGAGGCTTTTATTGCCAAGAGAATGTGTAATATAACATAAATGCAACTCTTATAAAGTAATATGTGTTCAGTTAGACACAAGAATGCCAGCTTATTGAGACACAAAGTAGCTACCACCCAACTTTTCGCCAGCAATACAAATACTTAATAATAACGTGTCACCCTTTATCAAACTCTTGAGTTTAAAACAGGGAAACAGGGATTTTAAACAAACCAAAAATCAAACACCAGCACAGGGATGAAAACAATACACTGTAGTGATGATCCGTTGTATCATGGCGTGGCCCTGAGCTGGCAATATTGTTTTGTATGATTCTTTTTTTTTTTCTAGCATGCTGCATTTGTGAATCAACAGATTTGTCCTAAGAAGAGATTAGCTAAGCTGCTAGCATTCAGTTTACCTTTGTGACTCGACAAAGTTCAGCACTTGAGTCTGACAGCTGTACTTTTCTTTAGAATGTATAAACATCCTCAACAAGGACACACCCTTGTTAGATATATATATTTTTTTCAAATCAGGTTTCAGTGTGCTGAGTTTTTTTTTTTGTTCCGCTTTAGCAAGGGATTAAACCTCAGCACCTGTGCAGCCATTGCACCAGGTTTTCCTGTTTTTTTTTCTATACTTCTGCTGAGCTCAAAAACATGTATTTTTTTATTTACATTTGTTGTTTTCATTTTTAAATAAAAAACAAAGTCTACTGTTAATCTGTTCTGTTTTTTTTTTGTTTTTGTTTTTTTAAAGAAACAATTGAAGTCTATGACCTCACTCCAAGTCTTACCTCTGCAACAATGACTGTGGTAATAAAAGGTCACACATCACTGTGTTTTCATCTCATTGTCAGGTCAGTGATATGAATAGGAAGAGAGGTGTATTTTAGTCCTGTTAAGTGCAATACATTCTCATGGTAAGTGCCAACAAGTTTAGAAATTTAACAACAGGAATAAGGTGCTCACGTGCATTTAATGATAATTAGTAATAACTTCAAGTCATCAGTCAATGAAACTGCTGCACACTGCAACAACATATCCACATTTGAAAGTTCAGAAATACTGGTATCGCTGTCTGATAAGGTGCCTGTTATATGTTAGCTTTATTCATATTTAATGAGTAATTTACTTATGCTCCTTACATCATTTATAAACCATTCTGGCCAGAGTAAAAATCCCATTGTAAAGTCTTTATCAACTCAGTTTGGTATTTATGCAGTTACTAATGTTGGTTATTTATTCATATTTGCTCAGGGGTTTATTATCAGGCTGTCATGTATGTGGTTATAATGAAGCAACACCACACGAGAAGGAGTGATGTTGTACTCAGTGTCAATCCACAGCTATATGGCCTTGTGCCTACGACCAAATCACAGCCATGCTGACGTTCAGTACAACAACACTCCCTCAAGAGTGATATTGATTTTATATAACAGTTCTAGGCACCTTTTATTTAGTTTAGTTTAGTTTACATTTTAGTAAAGTTTTAGTGTAGTTTAGTTAAAGTTTACATTTTATTTAAGTATAGTTTGGTTAAATTTTAGTGTAGTTTTAGTTAAGTTTAATTTTAGTTTATTTATTTTAGAGTCATTTTTAGTTAAGTTTACTTTTAGTTTTGTTTTAGTGTAGTTTAGTTTTAGTGTAGTTTAGTTAAGTTTAGTTTATGTTTTAGTTAAGTATAGTTTAGTTTATGTGTAGTTTAAGTTAAGTTTTACTTTAGTTTAAGTTTTAGTTTAGTTATACTTTTAGTTTAGTTTTTGTTTATTTTTAATTTAGTTTATTTTAGTTTTAGTTTATTTTTACTTTTAGTTTTACTTTTAGTTTAGTTCAGTTTTAGTTTAGTTTACTTTAGTTTCAGTTTAGTTGTAGTTTAGTTTACTTTAGTTTTAGTTTGGTTCAAGTTTTAGTTTAGTATACGTTTAGTTTACTTTAGTTTCAGTTCAATTTAGTTTAGAAGGGCAAGTGCAAATTAATAAATACACATGGTATAAAAATGCCAAAATCAACATCTGTAATCCCTTGGCCAAGATGTTACACAAGGCTACCTAAAATACAACAAAGTACAAAAAACAAACAAACAAAACAAAAAACATACAAACACTTTAAAAGATGTGTTTGAACACATCAACAATAAATTATTTTTTAGTCACAACAATGTAATGATCATCAAATTTGTGATTCAGTGCTAAAACCTGAGGCAAGGTTGATGCAATATAAAAGAAAATAGAATTTTTAGAAGCACTAGAGGCAGTGGTGACATATTTCCATATAAAGCAACACTGCAACACCAGCAGGACGTATTATTATTTGCAGCAGCAAAAAAGAATTAGTGTTTACAACATGTTCGTATTAATCACCCACTGTTTTAATTGATTACTGACAGATCTATAGGTATTTAGTTCTCTGATATGAACTGGAATTACATACCACCCTCTTGAGCACTTTTCCTCAGTAAATATATACAATCTCCTCTTACAGGACCCCCAGTGACACGATTAATGTTTGCTCTTCTGCTGATACAGACGACAAGTGGTGGTGGTGGAGCTCAGCCATGAGAGACTTTGTATATGAAACACAAGTTTGCATATTTTATTTAGTCATTGCATCTTAAAGTCTGACAGTGTCTAGTGCTTTAAGTGTTGACAGCAGTAATAATTTTCCTGCACACTTGCTTGCAACACTGTGTAGGTCTACATATGACCTCAGGCCAGCTACTTTGCATCATATACATTTATCTGTGGGTTTCCATCTATTACACAACCAGTGAAATTAGAGTGTGCTGACAGACGGTTTGGTGGCATGTGTGGATTCCAATGAGTTAACAGCTTAATCACAGTGCGTTGCGACATCGGCTGATGAGCACACCTGGGGGTTTGCAGTGAAGTATCCAGACTTCTTTCCTTCCCTTCGTCTTCTTCTGACGACCGTTTATGATTTGACTCAGATGATATTTGTGAAAATATGTTTATCTCTGCGGACGACAGTTTTATTGTAGGCAAATTAACAGTTAGAGTAATTAACGGTTTAGGACACCTGTACAGCAGAGTCATACATAGTTCTCCACACTCATGGATGCCTCCTATCCAATCAAATGCCTCGGTCAGAACTAACTGTTGAATAAATGTTAATAAGTCATTACTAAAGGGCTTTATTGATTAACTCTGGAGTTGTAAGTGTTAATAAGTTCTTCATAAATAGATTTTGGTCCATTGTCTGCAGCTTTTGTAGACATACATGACTAAACAGTTTAACCAGTCAACAAAAAATTATATTTTATTAATGTTTTTTTTTTAATGACCTGTGAAACATTAGTAAATATTTATTAAGAAAATAAATCCAGCATTAGTAACAACTTACAAACCCTTAAAGGTGGTCAAATAGCCCAGTGATGTCAGCAGTCTTCAAATCTGAGCATCAGGCATTAGTACTCCCTTTACATTGAAGAAACTGTAATGTAAAATAATGAATACTCAGCAGTGGAAAGTAACTCCTCAAGTACTCTACATAGGTACATGTTTGAGGTACTTGTTACCTTACTTGAGTACCGTAAAGCCTATTCCCCATTAAAAGCTTGGTCCCTTTTACCAGCCCAGTGTGGCTACACATTTTGACAAATAAACGCCTGTCTCAATTAGACGCCTGTCTGGTTGCCAAGCAGTTTTTTCTTTAAAAGAAGTTCCTCAGATGTGTAAAAGTGGGCTGTTTGCTTCCTCAAATTATGTGTCCATTCCTCAATTACACTTTAAGTTATTCATATTCCTTTAGTCTGTAAGGGTCCTCAGATCAAAAGAATCAAACGGGTTTTTCATAAAAATTAATCAAAGTTGTGTTGGATGCACTGATGGAGCTAGATCAAATGAACGATTAATAATTGATATATTATTTGAAACCTAATTTTTATACAAATAATATTCACACTGGTTTAGATGAGCAATTTGATTATATTTCCTGATCTTTGCTGAGCAACAGTTTTGCATGAAAGGAATTAAAAGCCTGTCCCAAATATAGGCCTGTTGAATTAAGTGATTTAAGCAAATAATAGCCCGGGCTTTTAATTGACATTATACAGTTTTATTTTACAGTATTTCCAATTGATGTTACCTGTACTCCACTTTACTTTAGAAAACCATTATTGTACGTTTTACTCCACTACATTTATTTAACAACTTTATTAATACAAAATAGAATATCAGCTGATAAATTATAATGTGTTATTATAGATTAAGCTGCCCAGCAGTATATAAAGGTAGTTGAAATTAGCCTCACATTTACGAGCTGCACCATTAAAGTACTCATTAATGCATCACTGATTATAATCCATTAGTATAATGTCTATGATTATAAAATAGGCCATTCTGCACAATCAGTACTTTTATTATTGGTACTTTCTGTATATTTTGATGCCAATACTTTTGTACTTTTATTCAATAAGATTTAGAATGCATTTTTTTTACTAATAGGATATTTTTACACTGTGGTGTTGCTGTTTTTACTTCAGTAAAGATCTGAGAACTTCTTCCATGCTGTGAGTACTGATGATTCTGTTTCAAGAGGGTCTGTGTGACATGATTGAAAACCACCACCAGGTGGCGCTGTTACATTGTAAAACTGTCTGGTTCCTGGCTGCTGCTCTCTGAGAATAAGGAGGTTTGGCTTTCATTGCAGCCCACTCTTTCCTGTTTTGTTGACCTGGGTTTGCTCATCAATTACTTTTAATTGCTCGTTTACTTTTCTCTACAGTAAGATGGAGTCATGAGTGTTCCTCTACGGGCAGAGCCTACACTGCCTCTGAGTTTAATTGGGATTATGGTGCTGCATGCTCTGAATTTATTCAAGTTTCAATTGCTTTTTACAACAGTAGAATTTATTACAAAAGTATTTTTCATGAAAACAGTGCTATAATACTTAACTTTAAATTAGAATATCTATTCTGCCCACTGAAAACACACTCAGTTCCTTTTAAAACACATAAAACACACAAAACTTTAAGGCTGATTGAAGATTAGGTTTGTCTGAGTGTAAAAGACTACAACAATGATGGTCAGTAAACTCTAAAGGAAGGAAGAACATGTCTTGAGACACATGCATTGCTTTAGTAAGCCCCACCACACTGATGTAGTACAGATGATTTGGCAACAGTCTTGGCTAGAACTTCCTGTTTGGGAAATAAGAGGCAGGCACTAGCACACGCTGTACAGGAATGCAACTTAAACAGAGTGAGTAATAGCACTCCCAACCACCACACTCTGCTGACGTCAAGCGAGCAGGCAAGATGGAACACGCTGCTCTCATCTGCAGTAGGAAAACTACAATCAAGGTGTGACCGAGGACCGGAAGTCGTCTTAAAGCCACAGTTGTTTCTATTGAAACTGCAGTCCGTCTGATCTGACAGTGTTGACTCATGCTGTCTGTGATGAAGAGTATTGTCATTTTGCTACTTTACTAATAATGCTGCAAATGTCTTATCTAAATATGTCATCTACCAAAGCCTACACTTATTAATGTTTGTCAATTGGATCCATGCTCTTTGATCAGACTGTCAAATGTCAAACGTGCAATACGTGTTGTCCTGAAGTGCTTCCTTACTCAGCCTGTTTGTGCATAGTGCTGACTCCACAGTCACAATCGACCAAAAAGGATATCTGCCCTGCCCTGCTGACTCCTTCAGCATGTGTCCTCAGTTTAGTTATTAACCTGGAACTTCCCAATAGCCGGCC